AAGAAACAAAAACATCGTAAGCCTCTGTATTTCCATTTTATAACAATATAGAGACGGTTTTCTCCTAGAATTTTTGGCCTTTTGATTTGGCTGCGACCTGGATCTAGGAGTTTCGTACCGGTGTGTTTCTATTGGACGCGATTAGGACAGCCGCCTGCGAAATAGATTCTACAAAGGTTATTTCTAGGAGCATGTCTTTGATAAAATTAAACAAGAATGGAGAAAGTGGACATCCCTGACGGACACCACTTGAAGTATGGAATTCGGTTGACAATTTGCCATAAGCTCTCACTCGACCAGTGATGTTCGAGTAGAGAGCTTGTATGAGGTTAATGTAATTCTTTGGACGCCTAAATGTGTCTGTGTTTCACGACCTGTCGTAAAGTGAAGATGTGGTCTATATAACCACGTCCAGGTCGAAAAACAGCCTAGTTTTTTCTAGTCTGCTCTTCACGAGCTTTCGTTAAGCGTCGAAGTATTATTGAGGCCAAAATTTTAGATACTATAGTAGTTAGACTTATTCCCCTGTGATTGTCACAAGAAGACTTGTGTCCTTTCTTATAGATTGGGTCAATCAGTGATTTAGACCACTCAGATGGGATTACGTCCAGTTCCCAGTTTCCATCTAAGATCTCAGTCAATCCAGCTGCTAAAACTGGACCACCATCCTTAAATATCTCAGGGGTCAGTCTATCAGGACCTGCAGCTCGTCCTCGCTTCAGATTTCCTAACTCTCTCTCAACTTCATAAAGAGTCGACGTAAGTTACCCGACTCTTTATGAAGCATTTAATTTCGACCGATTTGGTCTCGTGTGCTGTTACGGGTGTGACGGCGGTTGTCACTTCTCGTCTGCACACACCATGGAAGGTTGTTTCTTGAAAGACTTGAAAAGGAAGGTAGATTTGTGTTGGTCTTGGAGATCTGGGAGCGTGACCGCAGAGACCAAAGGACAACTGCTTGAGGTCGGACACGCACTGCCTTTTTGTTAAAGGTTTTTTGAGTGTTAGCTCCGCTCTTAAAAGCCCTTAGTGAGCACCCTCACAGCCTGAGACGGAAATCTGTGAGGTAGGGTGAGATATGACATTTTTAGGGTCGATCTTTTCTAACCCTTCCTTCCTTGTCCGAAGGCAGCATCGCTGCAGGCCTAAGGCATTCTAACAACTTCAAAATTCAGAAAAAGCAAAAACCAAACTGAACAACTTAATACTGTATCTGAATTGTCTGACTCCATGAGTATGGAGATAAAAATGCTTTATAGATTTGTGACTTTAAGTGAAATAATGTCATGAAATATTGATTTCCGAAAGTGATTAGAACTCTACTGGTTCCAACTGCATGGATATGATAATTTTTTTGGCCGTAATAATGGAAACGAACTTACTATGAGTCTTCAACATCAAGTCCTTTTGAAGTCGAGAAACAACGAGTTTATAGAAGAACAATCACAAAATCTAAAGGCAAAGGTCAACTTATGAATACACTGACTTAAAAACAAGTACAAATTATATTTCAGATATCAGTTCAAAGAGTTGGTATTTATATAAATAGTTTGTGATAAATTGAATGTTTTGGTTTTCTTAAAACAAACAAGTGTAGAATCTCAGGCTTTTAAATGAATATTACTATTTAGGTAGAGATGACGAGATTCAAGATATAGAGTCCGACCAGGAAAGGTGTCAATGATGATGTAATGGTTGCTCACATAATATTCACTGACTTTGCGAAGGCCTCCAATACAGTACCCCGCCAACGCCTAATAGTATAGGTTTCGAACATGGGCCTCACACTTCCAATTATATCTTGGCTGGAAAACTACCTTGGGAATAGAAAGTTTCGCATAAAGGTGGAGAAAGTGCACACGAGCTGTCCAGTCAGTATTAGTTCCACAGGGTCCACTACTTTCCGGGATATTTGCTAATGACCTGCTAGATAAAATTAGCTTAGCGGCATTGATCCATGCAGATGATACAAAGATATGGAGGTCCATGGAAGACGACGAGGATTCAAGTGAGCTTCAAAAAAAACCTTAAATCTATTCAGTAACAAGCAGTGGAAAACGGGTTGAAGCTAAACCAATCTAAATATCATGTTACGATCATTCTGCACAACATGACATAAATTACTTTCACCGTAACTGGAAGTCTACTCACTAATGTCTCCTGAGAGCAATATATCGGTTAAATATCCACAGAAAGCCTGGACTCAATTTCCAACCATGAAGAGTACTCAGCAAAGGCTTATGCATTTCTTCACTTTATATGGAATCATCTTGGTGCAATCACCCCAGACTTATTATTAACACTGTTTAAAACATACGCACTCATAGACCTTGAGGTTCACAACGTCGTCGCAACTTGCTTCTTTTACAGAAACAGAAATTCCCCAGATCTTTCACAGACGAGCAACTAAATCGGCGATAGGGTTGAAGAATAAATCGTAAGAAGACAGACTGCAGAACTTCGGATTATTCCCTCTGAGCTACAGAGGAATCAGAGATTATCTTATAATGGTGAACAAAATATTAAGCACGCTAAATGATCCCGAGGCATCAACACCAAACATCTGAGGGAAATCCTCAAAAAATTACACATCAAAAAGCGAATTCATAGGTTTGTGCATACTTCCTCTCATTAAGAGTCGTTGCAACTTGGAATGCCTTCTCAGACGAGGTGACCACAGCTCTCTCAGTGGAGAACCTTAGGAAGAGACTTGACAATCACGTACTCAAAAACAGATTATCGTCTCCCTCGTGGACAAGCTGTGCCTGCTGCATGTCTTGAGACCTGTTAGTTGTTACTATTGCCACACCATAAGATCATTAATCTAATCTATCTCAACTATTATTTTGCTTCCTCTCCTTTGATTACACTTCGGTCGTCTCGCAAAATCTTCACCACCAATTAGCGAACTAAATTATCTATATATATCTTCTTATTAGCGTTAGAAGTTTCTCCTTATTATTCTTCGAATCGCAACTAACTAATCTCCGGTCTGGTAATGTGATGAATGCTGGTATTCCAATCATGGGACATATCAAGTCATAACCATTAATTATGAGTGCATGGATATCAGCTGGTTTATACTGGCTCGCGAAAGAGATATTGAATATTGGATACTGTATGTGTATTTTAGGTGCACTCGTTGTATCAAGCGCTACTGTGCGCAATGAATATTTTATCGAAGGTAGACAGTAGCTTATCATGTTTTACAAACCCTGACGTAACGATTAACTGCTTGTTGCAAATTATTTTAATAATGGTGTCCTCAACAGAGATTTTTGCCAGAAATGTACTTTGCAGCAGACCATGCGATAACAAAATGACACGTGCGGAATTATATACACAAAATTATCTTTAAATACATGCGCTGAGTAATAGTAAGAAATATATCCTAATATTCTTACTCATCGCACTTCAGCATTTAGATCAGTCATAAGTTACTATTTCATCCTAGTATAAGTAACTTGTAATTGGATAGTCTTCGTGCAGATGACCCAATAAGATTTTCTCACTTGGGTGTCATAAATTCGCTCCTAAACGAGCTCAGAAAATAATCCTATTGTGAGTAGTTTGTATTTTTGGGGTTTGAAGCTACTCGTTACCATCTTGTAATTTTAAGGTTTCCTAACACTAGCTACTGTCTCTACCGAGATTTTTTATATATCTGGCATGCTTTCAGGTTTTTTCCCTTGAAAGAGTTGATAAAATCCAATTCCTGCACGCTTAAACAGGTCTCTAAGAGTTATTTTATCCAACGCACTGAGGAAACAAAATGTATTTATTCAAACAGTTAACGTATCTGAAAACTCAAAGTAATTAGGCCTTCCTTAAAACTTCAGAGATGCAAAAACTCAGTCTTCACATTCCATATGTAAACTGCACTTTGATCAGTACTAGTGGATATAAGTTTTGCTCTAGATTTTTAAGTTTACAAACTATTTTAATTAACAAATAGCCAAATGGAAAATTATACTCGAATATCCACACTCAACACTACGTAACTACTTTCTAGAGGTATCTGCAGTATTGTATAATATCAAAATTCTTTTGAATACTTAACAGTTATCTGTTAAATTTCACTACAGAAGTAGACCGTCTGATAGTCGCCAGGAAATCATATACATACCTTATCATATTGGAGCATTTAAGTAAATATAACGTAATAATTTGCTGGTCTGGATTGCTGTTTTGATATCTTAGCTTTCAGTGACCACGATTGTAAAATTCTAGACCCCTGTTGTCGATATGACTTATGAAATGGTATCATAGGTCAACTCCGTAAGATCCCAAGCGTTGGATGACCAGTCATATCTAACTCCTAGGCCCGAAACTCTTTGATGAATCAGAAGGTTAGATAGGTTTTCTTGCCCTCTTAAAATGCCTGCATATGGCCATAGGTTTATAACAACCACCAGGGAAGTTCTGCTTTCTGCCTTTACATGGCGGGCATTTTTACAAAAGAGAACGGAAATTAAATATCTGGCGCTCAAACTAGGTTCTTGCGTACTAAGAATTCACCTAGGGGTTGGTAGACTCCAATCGCATACCAATTGTGTAAACGGTCTTCAGTATCAAAAGGTAATAGATGGCATACAAAACAACTTTGATCACCAGCTACTATGAGAACGCACTCCGTGATTTTATTCAGACTTGTGGATCGGACCTTTTGATCTGAAAAGTAACTCTCTAAGAAAACCTCCGCTCCAGTTTTGGCACCAGAGCAGTTTCCTATACTCTAAAATTTATTTTTTGTGCTGTATGCTGTTTTCGGCGCCCAGTTACATAAAGTTTTATGTATACTAGATAAAATAGTTAATCCTTGCACCACCCTTTTCTTATTTATTAACATTAACTCAAAAACTGGTGCAAAGAAGCATCTAAACATTTATACATCACACAAATAATTGAATTTAGGAGTGTGCTCAGATACTGCTCAATCTAAAGCTGGTCGTCTTCTTTGGGGGCCACTTCTCTAGCCTTTGACTCAAAATTCAAATCCACAAGACAGTGGAGCAATGTAAAGATATGCAGTTCCATGGTAAGTGGTGATCAACAATAGGTCCATATGTCATTTGTTCCATCAGGATCCTGGAACCCATGTGCACCTTTGATTGCGAATCAAGGTCTTTTCAGCTCCTATAGGTGGATTTTCCGTACCCACCAACCAGGTTTAAGTGCCGGACATTAGATTGTTGTCTCCTAAATTTCTTTAAAAAACGGTTGCCTTGAGAAAACAGTGACAGTGACTGTATACACGTGGCCATATGATAGCATTTTGAGGAGAGTGGACTCCCGTCTCCATCGTACGATGGTATTTGAGGGCTCACACCTCTAATAAAACTCAATTTCACTAAGCACCAATTTCAGCTGAGGTCTGGATCAAACTAATTACATCAGTTGATAACTAATTAGCTTCTAAAGTGATATTTTTATCTTTAGTTGGAGCATCATCCCTTTCTCCACGACTTATCACTCAATCATAAAAAGCTAAAAACTTTCATGTATATGGATGGGCTCAAGTTTCCACACCACAACTATTGTAGTGTAACTAACTAGGATGAAAAACAAAGGGGCTGAATTAATAATACCACTGGTAATAGAAAACAAAACAGGAAATCTTGTTTAAAAAGAATATATGAAATGATTGAGTAAGTACGAAACCATGTGGAAACTCGAGACTTGGATAAAGTTGAATAATGAATTCATCATATCCAATTAATTTTGAGCCATAAAACGTAAGATCTTCAAATCTAAATTACGTTTAGCTCAGGAACACCTATCAAATGCCTATGCCTCTTAACAGCTCTGTCCGATAATCAGCGACTTTGTAGACTGTTCTTCCATCTTTGTTTAGCCACATGAGGCTCTTTCCAATCTATTCCCATACTAGCAAACATTCTATGCCGGATACATATTGCGTTTCAGCCATCTTGGTTAATCAAAACAATACTAATTTATTTGTTTTAGACCTCCCTAATTTCGAAATTTGTGAGAAGCAGTTTAAATGATACGATTTTTGTTCATAAACACGTCTTTGGTGTTCATATAACTCCACTGCCTCATCACTTCTGTACGAATTCCGAACCAACCGATGATAAACAGCAAGTCGTAAGGGACACCTACAAAAATATTCGTGAAAATTACAAAGGCAAACCGTACAAACAAGCTGATTTAGCAACAAGTATAGAGTATTTAAATTCTGATGGTATGTAAATGATTCCTCTCTATTTGATCCTGGTTTTTAGTGTTCAGGAATACATATAGAGGAAAACCTGTATGGTTTTACTACAGACGTAACTATAAGGGACATTTCCCTTCGAGTATATCAAGAAAAAATTGTGTTGTATGTTCAACTAACCGATTTACTTTCTATATGCTCCTTTTTCCTTTCTCGTTTGTTTGGCACATAGTTATCAAATCTCATGATAATATCTAAATTCTGTCATAGTGAATTTTTTGAAGTGTACAGTTTCCGTTGTCATTATTGCGTTTATTGTTGTCTGTACCATAGATGATAATATTGACATAGGGATCTAATTTACTCACGCCTGTTAGCCATCCTGTAGTATAGGCCGCTGACCAACAACCTCCAGCTTATTGTGTCATGAGCCTTCTTTTCCAGTTCTTCCTAGTCGCTATACATTCTTTTCACGTCTGTCTCCAATCATCGTTGCAATGTGTTTTTGGTATGCATCTTTTCTTTTTGTCATGCGGATTCTAAGTTAGGGCTTGCCTTGCGACAGCTGGTTGCTTTCCGCGATATATGTCCTATCCACCTCCAAAACGTTTCCTAATTTCCTCACCAGTTAGGAGTTGCTTTGTTCCCTGCTACAGTAGGTAATTGCTGATGGTGTCTGGTTAACGGATCTTACTTTTTACCGTATGCATGTTGAGACCTACTTCTGTAGAGGCTGCTGATATAATGGCGGTCTCCAACTGCATTTCTTGTTGTGTATAGAATAGAAGAGCTAGGTGATCCATATAGTTTGAATCATCTAGCTGCATCCAAGCTCTCCACTCTATTCAGTGCTTCCTCTAGTGTCGCCATTCGGTCTGTACACGACCGATCTTTGTGAAATCCGATCTTCTGGCCTTGAAGTTAGGTGTCTACTGAATCTTCCATTCTGTACAACAACACTCTTGAAAACTTTGCCTGTTACTGATAGTGGTGTGGCGCGTCCATAGCTCTCACACTTACTACGATTTCCTTACTTCGGTGTCTTGGCGAGGTATCCTTATTTTCAGTCTGTAGATACTTGTTCTTCCTCTCAAATCTTGCTGAAGAGGGTGTAGGGCGTCTATGCAGTTTCTTCTATGCTTGATTTCAGTGGCTCAGCTGGAACGTTATCTGGTCCTGCTGCATTGCCGCTCTTGATTTGTCTGACGGCAGCGCTGATCTCTTCAGTCGTTGATGTGTTAACAATGACTGGGAGGTCCGTGGGTGATGCTTCGATGTTGGGTTGGTTCAGCTGGGGCAGTCAATTCAAGAGTTCCTAAAACTACTCTACAAACCTGTTTCTTTTTCCCTCAGTGTCCTTCAGCAATTACTTTTTCTCCTTGCTCTTCACTGGTAATTCTGATTTACTATATTTTCCAGAAAGCTTCTTCGTTTCATCATTTGGTTGTCTCATGTTTCCTTCTCATGAAGCTTTTTTCTGCTATCATTGCCTAGGTCTTCCACATATTTGTGTTGATAAACTTTAATACTCCTCTTCACTTGCTTGTTTGCTTCTGTGTATTCAGATTGCGCCTTGGCTTTCCAGCTCTTGTTTGTTGTTATCGATCATTGTCTTCCTGTTCTTCCTCTCTTGAATCTTATTCAGAGCATCAACAGAGATCCATTCCTTATGATGGTGATTCTTGTGGCCCAAAACCTTATGATATACTGAAGTTATTGCTTCTTTGTTTCCTTACCAATTGTTCTTCACGGTAGTTTCCTCCTCTGCGTCGAGTAGATCATGTAAGGCCTGGAACTTATTGCCGAGAGCTATTTCGAATTCGTTGAGCTAGTCAGTATTTCAATATTTCTTTAGTTTCAATTTGATCTTGGTCACCATCAGTTAGTGATCTGAAGCTATGTCAGCTCCCCTCTTTGTTCTCACGTCTTCCATGGTCTTTTGCAGCGTTTATTCATATGGATGTAATTGATCTTATTCTCTGTAGTGTGATTCGGTGAAACCCATGTAGCTTTGTGAATGAATTTGTGGGGGAAATAGTGTGCTACGAATAGTCATTTTGTTGGCCTCACATGGATTTACAAATCTCTTGCCATTGTTATTCTTTCTCTCAGTCCGTCTCGTCCTACGATGTCTTTATATCCGGTGTTTTCCATTCCAACCTTGGCGTTTCGGCTTTTTCATCAGGACGACCAAGTGGTTTCCCTAGCAGTCTTCTGTAAACTAGTTTTTGTCACTTCTAGTTAGTAGCCCTGAATTAAGTTCATTGTAATCCTTTCCATGTGTCTTGAAGGGTGGTTTGATGATGCTGCATCCATGAGATTCCTGTCGTATAAGTGGTTTCTCTGCTCCTTTGGATAGCACCACTGCAACCGTCTGTGTATGTGAGTAATTTACCTCTTCAATCAGTCAGTCAGTCAGTCAGTTGCAACGTAGAACTTCATACGTATGTACATAAGTTCATGTTGCCATACCACATTATTAGCACAGAGACGCAAACGTCAAATCAAATCCCATAGTGATAAAGATAGTAGCGGTATTAATGTTAATAAAGAAGACTAGGGTTCGAAGATATAATTCAAGAAGTATATAATTCAGTGAGATAAGGTTAGAAAGACTGAGGTAGAGGTGCTGGCTAATCCAGATTAGGATTTGAGAGAGCTCAAAGAGTGGATGCACCTGCGCCATTGCAAACGATTTTGAGCCATGTCGTTCAAGGTCTCTAACCATTGATGACTTTCGTCTCGCGGACCCCAACCAGGTAGTCTACATCTACCAACATGACTCAGTCCACTTGTCAGTGACTTCATGGATTTCTGCCATGTTTTGGTCTGGCCGCCCCTAACTTTCTTCCAAGTTACTCCTACACCACAAAACATAGCTCGTCGAGGCAGTCGGTGGTTAGGCATACGTAACACATGTCCCAACCACCTCAACTGATGAAGTTTCACCACTTCATCGATTGATCTGCCATCCTTACCTAGTACTCGTTTCCTAACGACAGCATTGCTTACTCGGCTGTCCCACGATATACGAGCAATGCTTCTTAAACATCTATGATCGAATACTAGTAACCTACGAACATCTTCTACTCTTAACGGCCATGTTTCACAGCCATATAAGAGAACGGAACGAACTGCTGCGCAGTACACCCGCCCTTTGGTTAGCGAACGGATATCACGCCTACGCCATAAGTGACGCAGGTTGGCAAAAGCCAATCGAGCTTTCTGTATCCGAGCTGAGATTTCGTCAGTCACCAGACCGTCAGCACTGATGAGACTCCCCAGATAAGTGAAGTGATCTACACGCTCGACTACTTCACTCCCTATCACTAGTTCAGGTGCCGAAGCAACCCAGTCTTGAAGCAACATTTTGCATTTCGAGGGGGAAAACCGCATCCCGAACATGCTCGCATTGTTGCTTATGGTAGTCAGAAGACTCTGCATTTTGTCAGCGTCTTCACCGAATAGAACTATGTCATCGGCATATTCTAGATCAGTAGGCGACTTTCCTGGTAGAAGGTCAACCCCTGAAAAATCTGATGAGCTTAATGTTAACTCTAAGAGGATGTCTACGACAAAGTTGAACAACAATGGAGAGAGTGGACAGCCCTGACGGACACCACTTGATGTAGAGAATTCAGATGACAGTTCGCCATATGCTCTCACCCGACCAGTGGTGTTCGAGTAGAGTGCTTGTATAAGGTTAATGTACTTCTTTGGTACACCTTTCAATGACAGACACTGCCACAGAACCTCACGATCCACTGAATCGAATGCCGCCTTAAGGTCCAGGAACACGACTATTGTCGGACGTCTAAATGTGTGTCTGTGTTCCAGGACCTGTCGTAGTGTGAAGATGTGGTCTATACAACCACGTCCAGGTCGAAAACCAGACTGGTTTTCTCGAGTCTGCTCTTCGCGAGCTCTAGTTAGACGTCTAAGTATAATCGAGGCTAACAATTTAGTTAAACTTATTCCCCTGTGATTGTCACAAGAGGACTTCTGTCCTTTCTTGTAGATTGGGACAATTAGCGACTGAGACCAGTCAGATGGGATTACGTCCATTTCCCAGATTCTACCTAGGATCTCGGTCAGTTTAACCGTTAAAACTGGACCACCATCCTTAAACATCTCAGGGGTAAGCCTATCGGGACCTGCCGCTCTACCTCTCCTTAGATTTCCTATAGCTTTCTCAACTTCATGTAAACTGGGAGGACTTAAATCGATTTGCCATTCAGGATGACTGGAGATCGTGGGCAACCGAAGAGTGGCTGAAAGCCAGTTGAACTGATCCCTAAAGTGTTCTGCCCATCGGTCCAGCCTCCTAGATTGAGAATGGATAATAAGACCATCCTTTTCCGAGATAGTCTCACTTACATTCGGGTTCCGAATACCGGTTTCTTTGATAAGGCGGAAAAGTTGTCTAGTGTTGCCTATCGCCGCTGCCTTTTCCATCGCTTTTGCTTTCGCCACCCACCACTGTTCACGGTCGTTACGTAGGCTTTTTATAAGTCTGCGCCTAAGTTGAGTACGCTCTTCATCATGTTCAGAGTCAGGTGGGATGCGTTTTCGTGCATCCATCAGTTCGGTGGATGCGACTGAAATCCACGGCTTCATCGTAGCCTTATGGTTTACCTTGCTAGCAGATATCACTGCTGTTTCCACAGCCTTCTTGATATGATTCCAACCTGCTTCTGGATGGGAATCACTTGCATGGCCGCCCAACTGTTTTTCTAGTTCCTCCTGAAATATTTTCTTAGCTTGATTATCATCAAGTAAAGCCCTAAGAGGCTTGCTTACGGTGTCTTTCCTACGTCCAGCAAGCCTCAAACAAATACGTGCTCGCACTAGGGCATGATCTGAATCTAAACATGTGCCCCAGAACGAGCGACAGTCCTCTATCGAACCCCTCCATCGGTGGCTGATGGCGATATGATCTAGTTGTGTCCAACGTTGAGACGACTTCGGGGGTCGCCAGGTCAAAAGGTGTTTTTCCTTATGCTTAAAATTAGTGTTTGCTAGAAATAGGCGGTTATCTGAGCACAGTTGCAACAGACGGTCGCCATTGTCTGTTCTTTGAGCCGCGAGACCGTAACATCCACCTAGGTGTCTTTCATTTTCACTTAGTCTACCTACTTGAGCATTGAAGTCGCCAGCCATTATAACTATATCAGAGCGCTTAACTTTTTGGAGGAGGTCCGAAAGCTTTCTGTAAAACTCATCTTTTACATCATCTGGGCTGCAGTCAGTGGGGGCGTAGGCTGATATGACGAAGAGGCAACGGCGAGTGTCCCTATCTTTCCGAGTCCTTACTGTCCCGTTCAGTCGGACGGCGCACAAGCGACTATCTACAGTAATCCAGTCAAGGAGAGATTGTTCTGCCCTACGACTCAATGCTATACCTACACCGGCGAGGCCCCTAGAAGCAGCATCAGGGCTACCGGATACACGAAGGGTAAATCGAGCTGCTTCTTTATCTTGACATGGTGAGGTCAAATGAGTGATGCTACTCGGATCCTGTATGCGCGTTTCCGAGACGCAGCACACATCGATGGAACGAGATTCTAAAGTCCTAGCTAATGACGCCTGTTGCCCTATTTGACACAATGTCCGTACATTGAATGCTCCAACATGTAGTTTGGAACGGGGTTTAAGGAGACCAGGAACGACGTTTCGCAAACTCGCATCGTTTGCATTAGCTGTGCACTGTAATAAATGAATGTGAGAAGAGTTGGTTGTGGAGATAAGAGAGGTATTAGGGAATGTAGGAAGGATTTGATTTTGAACAATTTCGTCTCGTGTGCTGTTGCGGGTATGAGGGCGGTTATCACTTCCTGGCTGCCCACACCGTGGAAGGTTGTTTCTTGACGAACCTGAAAAGGAAGATGGATTAGTGTTGGTGCGTGACCGCAGAGTCCAAGGGACAACTGCTTCAGGCCGGTCACGCACGGCCTTTTTATGAGAGGTATTTAGAGGATTAGCTCCGTTCTTAAAGGCCCTTAGTGGGCACCCTTACCCAAGGAGACGGAAATCCGTGAGGTAGGGGAGGTGTGACATTTTTAGGGCCGACCTTTTCTAACCCTTCCTTCCTTGTGAGAAGGCAGCATCGCTGCAGATGCTGGTTGTCCGAGGGAAACACCTTACTGCTGTCACACCCCTCTGCAGTCAGCAGTACGACTTCGCCCTCAGACCTTGGGTAGCTGCTTTTAGTCTCATCGTTCTCCAATCGACCTGCCTGGCATGGTAGGACCTGCAGGAACATGTGTTCCAGCCAGTATAGCTCGGTTGGGTCATCACGATAGGCAAGCCCGACCACCACGTCAAGGTAGCAGCTTCGGTCGGGACCTCTTCAATCGGTTTATCTTTTTTCCAAGTACCCCTAGGTTGTATCTTTTCAATTTTCCAGCTACTTGATCGGTACTCTTGGTCTCCCATATTGTACATATTTTCCATTCACCTATATTAACAATTACTGTGGTCGTCAGAATGGGCATTTATCTCATAGCTTCCAACGAAGCTTTCTTTCACCATGAGGCGTACTAACGTTTCTAAATGAATATCCTTCTACTCCCAGGGCAGAGTCCAAATGGTTTAAATAGATTTTTCTGGTTAGCAATTTTTAGCAAGGTTGTTTTCAATGGAATGGGGACGGAATTATCCCTAGTAAAGCTACAGATGGATTTATATGGATCTAACGCAACTGTTATCCTTTATTCGATACAATGTGTAGCACATCTTTATTTAGGAAAAAAGAACAATGAACTGCTGTTCCCTCCTTAGGAATGTGTCATTTGACCATTCACAAAATAGTTTCAACAACCTTTTAACCACCATCTTGTGCAGTCAGGATGCACTGATCGTTAGTTGTTTAATTATTTGACTCATAATGTGTTAGACCATTCTTCAGTCTCACGAATTTACTGTTTTCTAGACTGATCCTACTAATCATTAAAACTCGCTAAACCTGTAGAAAGTTCACTTTTTAGCAAATCATTTTTTGACATTAGATCATCATTTATTTAAGTTACTAAGCGACGAGTAAATTTTCCTAAATTAATTGTCTTAAAAATTACTGCACATATATTCACTGCATTTCGTACCTTTGCATCAATTAATATCAAACGGCCACCTACCAAGTAATCAAACTCCGATTCTTCAAATCTCGTGCCGAACGAACTGCTTTAGCTCTACTCATTCACTATATTTTATTGTCAGTTTTCATTAAAACAATTTGAAACATTCATTAATTGTTTAATAACTTGGTTTCGCACAGCATCATGGAAAATTGGTAAGCGCAAATGCATGCCCTATTTGTCGTGACGAATATTTGGTATTACATCATCGTGTGAGTTGGGTTGTTTGCTTAAATTTCATTTAAAGCGTATAAATTAATTTTTAAAATGACATTTCCTTCTTTTCGTTGATATACTACTGTCATTAAAAATCATTTGACTGATTTCGAAGATCATAAGAGTTTCAAATAAACGTGGACATACATTCTAAATATATATTCATTTTGGAAAATGTTATGTACGATTTTTAACCACTGATCTCTAACAGTTGAATAGTAGTCTCATGAAAAAAATTGATGATTTCCAACGATGAACAGATTATCGTCCATTGATTATTACAATAATAAAACCATGGAGTAAACAATCCGAACATTATTCCTAAAGTACTTGATAAAGCTGATAAGTTCCGAAATGGAGATGTAAATTTTTCATTAGTCGAAATGGTCGGGTCATGAGCTACACATTTACAGACTACCTACTTGATTCTCATGGTGACTAGCGTAGGTATAAGTTAGGAAGTCGATTACGGGTGATGGTCAAACCATAGCATACTGTAACACCATTCCATATAGTTACTGACGTTTGAGTTTGAGTTGTGTAAGCTTCATGGTTGGAATCTAGAAGTTAACTGTAATCAATAATTCAAAACTTCATGCAATGGGTCTACAAATTGCCATTAGCAGTTGTATGCATCCATCTCTGATATGTTCTGGATTTGATTGTTTTCAATAAGTTCTCTATCCTATTTAAATTGACGATATGTAATCATATGTAAATATACTTGTTACTAACTTATTGATTTACATGTTCAGATAAAATTGTTTTCTGTGCTAACATCATTAGTGACTGACTTTTTCTCACACCTTTTGTTAGATATCGACTATCTTAAACTAAGAAACTATACTTGGTTAAATTTCAGTTCAGTTATATACAGCTTAGCCACAAAATATGATATTCAATTTAAAATGTAGTCTTCTTGTCTGTTTGACTGAAATTATACGTACACATTCGGGAATCATAATTTCACATCTCACTCTATATATATATATATATATATATATATATTACTTTTACTTATATCAGCTAAATAGTATCTTCAGCTATCGTTATAATAAATCTAAGTCAACCTCCAAATTCATAACTATACACTTGATCCCCATGTGGTTTGCCTCAAAATGATGAACTGATTTTACTTAATTAATAAATAAATTTGTCATGATAATTTATTATATAATATATGATAGAAATTTTATTTCATACATTAATTTAACTTTTTAATATGATACATTTATTATTTAATTCTCATTTATTATTTCGCTTTTTTTTTGTTTATCTTATTTTTTTAATTTAGCATATTGAACTATTGAAACAATTTATTAATCCAGATAATTTAGAAATCTTTCCAATGTCTAAAACTGGTAAGTATTTTTTTTATATGCATGTATATATGCGTAATATTGTTGATATGTCCTTCATCTGTTCATTAAGTAATTAGTTACTTCGTCTTTTTTTTAAAATGTTTTCTACAACTTAAAATTTATCTGTTGGGGACGTTAGATCCCCAAAACTCACTTAGAAAAGGTCCTAATTTTGGATTTTTTTATGTTTTCGCGCATAAGTTTAGTTGACCTTGCATTTCCCACCCGAACAATCCTTGACTGTCATTGGTTGGTGGATTATTTTAGTACGCTATTTTTGTGATTCTCCCAAGGACGTTTCTATCATGTATAAATAAGCTCGATTTGTGTGCTTGTCGACTTGGTGTTTTCTGGGTGCTTGTAGAATACACTTTCTACGCCTTATCAAGACTTTTTGATATAGTTAGCCGGGCCAGGGACAAACGGACTGGAATAGCCTATCGTGTTATTGTATCATTTGTCTACGCTCGGTTTGCCGAGTAAGGTGAACTCATAATAGTTTTAAGCATATCAATTGACGTGCATATCATTATCACTATATTTTTTAAAAACAGTGACTGGTGGTAGGATCTAGAACATTCGTTTCACTCTACTAGGGATTCATTGGCTGGATGTATCTACGTCTCAGGGTTGATTTTCCCACAAAAAATTGAAACCCATTATCTGTTTAGTTTTATATATTAAGTGTGAGCATCAACTCTGAAATTCAGGCGTGTTCAATTGACGAGTTCAAGGCATGGTGTAATTCACATCCTGGATTCTCGTGCATCGCTCTGTTCAAAAAAATATTATTAACTTGATTTTGAAGTAAATAAATTAAAATACACAATCTTGAACTACCTAATGTAGTAATAGTAGTAGCAGTAGTTGTAGTCGTAGTGGCGAAGCTTATTATCTACATAAAGTTGTTTGATATTAGTTTGTGCCGCAAACCTCAGTTAAGGGAGCCGAATTCAGCCCCTGAGTTCATCAGTCAGAAGTTGAATGTCTAAAATACACCTTTATGTAAGTACACAAAGTTACAGAAAATTGAAGTATATCCCATAGCACAAATCTATGAAGTCACTGACAAGTGGACTGAGTCATGTTGGTACATGTAGGCTAACTGGTTGAGGTCCGTGAGACGAAAGTCACCGATGGTTAGAGACCTGGAACGACAGGCTCAAAATCGTTTGCAATGGCGCAGGTGCATTCATTCACTGTGTTCTCTTAAATTCTAATCTTCTGAATTCCCCATCACCTCTATCTTTCTCTTTCTAAAGTTATCTCACTGAACTATACTTCTTGAATAATATCTTCAAACCCTAATATTCTTCTACTATCTCCACCACTACAGGATTTGAACTGACAGTGGCGTTTCTGTGCTAATGCGGTATGGCAACCTGAACTGATGTACGTACGTACGAAGTTCTACGTTGTAATTGACTGACTGACTGAAGTATATCCATACTATGATGCATGACCATAAACTCGTACAATCATTTCAGATTATTGAATAGCGCCGTCTAAAGATATGTTGTAATTTTTAAATTTGGTCTAGAAAATAATAAAAATTTACCTTTCATATAAAAGCAGGATTTGCTACTTCTCATTATTCATTCAACTCTTGCCTTACTACTGATTAAGAGAATTTTTTATTTCCTACTTGTTAAGATAATTTATTAAAATTATCAGTCTATCATTGTAAGACGGCTGTTTCATCCTAGTATGAAGCTCATCAATAATTCTCATTCACAACCTCCGCTCTCTGGGATCGAACCCAGGACCTTCGGTCTCTCACGTGAACGCTTTACCTCTAGACCATTGAACCGGCATCCAACACTGTTAATGTTAATGTCTAACTTTAATCACTTCCTGATGTTGCGCATTGTATATGGTAAGTAACTGCATACACTTGACAGGGTTGAACTCCACGAGTTATAATCCATAGGTGGAAGAAAACGTTAATTAATTATATGACTTGAATTTTTTATCTGTTAATGTTCAATCAACCTTGCCTAGAGCATCTCACAGGTTAGTGCCGGTCCGAAGCCCGGATAAAGGAGGAGAGTCGGGCATGGGGTTAGCCAGTAGAAAAGTAACTAGCTAGAAAAAAACTAACCAGTAAAAGTAATGTCCAGTCAATCATGTAGTTGAAAAGATCCTCTATGTTTGCTCTAAATACTCAGCTCTAATGCTATTTCATGTTTCTATTTTAATTTGTTTCCTCGAATTAAATTTTCATATATTTTGCTTTCCACTGGAATTGTTAATATCAATAATATTGTTATTTTGACTTTGAAATAAAAATCGTCTCATGTGACCGATAGCTAAACGTTGGCTAAATAGTAGTTATGTTATAATGGAACCATTGAACCGTTAAGTAAATAGTTTAAGCTATAAAAATTGTCATCTGCACACAGGAGCTAGGATTAGTCAAATTAAACGTACTATCAATGTATAAAGTCCATGTTGGCATATGCAGACCATCAGAATTGCTGTGATCAATGACGGGAACGTAGGTCACAATCGCACAGATGCACTCGTTTTTTTAAATCTTCCTCTAGATATTGAGTTTCAATAACTTTTCGCCAATAATCTTTTTTATTCCGTCTTTTCTAACCATACTCTCTGATATTATTTCGATTACTTTGTAACTATCTGTGTGATTGTGTTAATATCACTTTTAATTAATAAATGGAAATGTTTACAATTAATTTTGTGACTGTTTATTTCATCATGAATTAAAACTTGCCCATATCTTTTGTAAACTACCATAATTTTAAACTGTTTCACGCATAGATAACAATCTTTAATTAAACTTTATTTTCTTATTTTTTTAATCCTTGAAATTTCATAACATTAAAAATGTGTGATTTGCTTTTGTAACCATATACGTCTATTTTTTTCTCTCTCAGTTATTTCATATTTGTAAGGATAATAAATTGTACTGGTTAACGTGTTTGAATTTCAATCAGTGAGTGAGTGAGTGATTGAATAAGTTAGCACACTTTACTGCGGCGATAAATAACTTTGGCTTACATTTAAAGAAAGATATTTCGAAGGTCGATTGAGAGAGTGTACATGAATCAGTTCATTTATGATGCTGATAACTTAAGCAAATAATAATTAATGCTTATCTATAAAGAATAAAAAAGGATCAATAATTTTACTGTTTATTTTCAATCTGTTTTTATTCGCATAAATTTAATTATTTTTATTTTTCTAATTGATTTCATTCATAGGTATATGCCAACATCAGTATAAAATTTTAGTAAATGAAGTTGAAAAAGCCCGTGATTTAGGTAAGTATTCTTTTCTTTTGTATAATTATATGTGAATGGGGTAGTTTGATAGATGTATAAGAGGACTACCACTTATTGACTGAATACTCCATATAACACGTATAAAAACTATTGGTATTTTCAAATATAATTGTCGTCATAATCTGTTATCAGAAGAGCATAAAGCAAATGTTCGGCGCCGATATCAATCGATATAAACTAGGAAATCATTAAAAATTGAAAATGGGCTAAGGTAACTTTCAATTTGATCGGATACTCTTCAACGATAAACTTTAGAATACTGATTTCGACTTTGACATATATATATCTGCAGTCCTATATGCACATTCAGATTCAGACTGTAGTAACCTATCAGTGCAATATTCCTCAAGCTGATTTAAGTTTATGATGATAATTACTATCAAATCGTACAGTTAATTACTATATGATTAACTAAACAGATAATATTCCATGTCCTCACCGATGACCAAATGTATGAGCGAGTTCTCCCGGTTCTATTAAAAAGTCATAATATGTGTGCACATGTTTAGTCACTGAAATCAGGAAACTAAACTCGATGACACTTAAGTAGTGACGTTCAATATGGATAGGGTTATATCACAAATTGATTATACTTAAACTTATAAATCACTCAACTTTGACTGGATTATCGTTTCAAAGCATCATACTTATTAAAAGACTTCAATCAATGAGGAAGATGTCAGTGATCGATACATGAGATAAAGATACATATTATCTTTCTTTTATTTAATGTTTTTTTCCTCTATCTAGTTATTTGTTTAAAAATTTCAGGTTTAATTCAAATATGGTTACCTTTCTACTTGTATAATTACAATGATTATTATGATTATTTACCAACAAATCAATTGAATGAATTACTTCAAATTAATCATAGTCAATCTATGCATCAAAATATTGATTTATCATCATCTAGTGATATTTTGTCTTTACCATCCGATATACAAGAGATTTTAAAAGCAAATCAATCAATACCACATACAGTGGAATTCAATGTTCAATTGCCAAAAATTGATGTCAGTCCACCATATGTCAATAATCGTTATAAAATGGAAGAAGATTATAAAGCATTGCTGTTACGTCGTAAACGATCACGTTCATTTCTTTTGAATTGAAATCAGCATAACATTAGTTTATATATTTATGGAAGAATTGTAAAATTTCAATTTACTTATGTACATAGAATAAATGAATTGATAAAAACAAAAGATAATACTTTTGTTATATATCTGGTTGTATTCGTTTTTGATTTTTTTTTTCATGGCAGATATTACTTTATGGTTGTGAAACACAGTCCTTCATAAGAGAAGACATATGTAAACTACAAGTTTTTGATCATAGATATCTTCGATGTATTGATCGCATTTCGTGGAGCAATCAAGTGAACAATTTTCGCATCAGACATTGGATAGAACAAATGGATTAATGATATTATATATCTTTAATAACTGGGGTGTTTAGGACATATTTTACGCATGCCTAACCACTGCCTACCTTAAGCGCGATTATCGCCGGTGTAAAAGAAAGCTAGAGGTGGCCGACCCAAAACAGGACGTCAGTCCATTCGGTCATTGACTTTTGGTCTTAGCTGGATTGGTAGATACAGGCTATCTACTTGGCGCTGTTATGACTACCGCGCTTAGTGGCGATAAACTTTGACTGACATGGTTCCGAACTGTTCACAATGGCTTAGATGCATTCACTCATCATTTTCCTCACGATATTAAATCCTTATATTCCTTCATACACACCTCCCCACTGTCTATTCGAACCACATTCTTAATGTACAAAAGGTACAAAAAGGTACCTGAATATTTATTCACTACACAGATCATTGCAATTATGAATGGGCTGGGATACTTACTGCCCTGGTGCCCAAACCGAAGCAGATGGTTTTCTTAAGTGGTCACCCCCCCTCGAGTCTTTGACCCAAATGTCTAATCCACCAGGCAGTGGGGCAGCGCTGGTGACCAACATTAAGTTCATATGTCATTCCTTTGCTCAGGATCCTGCAGTTGACACGCACCATTGATTTGGAATTATGGCTTTTCAACTTCTCTAGGTGGATCCTCTGTATGCACGAACCCAGTTTATGCTCCGGATATTCGATTTTCATCCTCTCTATTTTGTAAAAAAACCGTTGTCATGAGTAGGCAGTGAGTAAGACTTTCACAACAGTAGCTATACACACATGATCATATGAGAATATCTCTCTCGAGAGAGAGTGGGTTCTTCTCACTTTCGGTCGTACCAGGGCATTCAGGTACCGTTGGCGCTTTCATCATCATTGCTACTGCATTATTTTGATCTCTTTCGCTCTGTTTTTATTAATTACTTCTCATCATATTAATGTGGTTTGCCAACTCACATCTGCACCAGGCCTTGCATTGATGTTGACTGATCTACTAACAGTTCTTTTAATCTTTTTCAATCTTCTTTTGTTGACTAGTTCACTTCATTCGCTTAACACATCAAGCTACTAATCTTAGTTTTTTTCTTATAGTGACTTTAGTATCTCTGTTATCATATCCATTTAAAAATATTCACTGACCTTGTAATAGCATACAACTTACTGTTGCCAAATAAACTAGGTCTTCTGTACTATCTTAGATACCTTGTTACATCATAAAGTAAGACGAATTAACTGCGATTATTTGAGCTTCATTTTAAAATTTCTCTGACTAACAGCCTGTCAAACTTATCAAAATCATAATTCATTAAGCCTATATTGTTTATTTCATGGTCTTTAGAGCAATAAAGTGAAAAAAAATCAATAGATTGTAGTTTTATTTAGCAAACACTACTAATTAGTATAACCTAGAAAAGAAAGGCTTTTTGTATACATCCAAATGGCCTGAATAAGTTTTTGTGTAAGTAAGCTTAATAACCTGCATATATTTTTCTATTTTCCTTTAAATATTATTTTAGTTACGTCTCCTGCATATTAAGTGCATTTCTAAAGAAGGAAGTTCATATCAACGAGGAAGGCATTTGTGGTAAGAATATGAATAGGATATTCTTTGGTGTTAATTGTTTATTTCGTTCATTTGATCTGCCATTTGATCTATTCTTCATTTAACATGGGGCCTCAAAAGAATAATTAATAAAGTATCCATTTTCATCCAAATCAAAGTTTTTCTCTGTTCACTTTATCGCATCATCGAATTATATTTATTACTTTGTTTTACAGACATGAATTCTTTTTACAACCATTAAAGTTATTTTTGCGCTCTGCATGAAATAATCATTCTAGGGAATAATTTGACAAGTGATTTCACATGCCCACTATAGTTTGGTCCTAAAATGTTAGAGTCAAACAATCATTGATTACTATGATTCATCCAAGGAATACGAATCATAGTTCATCACTCTGACCAAATATATGCGCATAATACTTAATACATATATATACGTACGAAGTTCTGAGTTGTAAGTGACTGACTGAATGACAATTTGAAGACCTCCAGATGACTTGAATCTCCGTTTTTGTTATCCTAACAGTATTTACATGAAAAATATTGACTTCAGTTTAAATATCAGTGTCGATTCCTCAGATTAAATGTTCATCATGTTTCAGACATATCAATATCACTGAAATATTTATGTTTGACATGTTCATATTCTGTCCTAGACTAACCGATATTTCTTTATCCTGCATATTGTTTTCAATCTATCAGGACATCAGTTAATGAAGGTCATGGATCATTGCATTACATAGCTCCACAAACACGTCTACGTGTAGTTGACAATAGTCCATGGAGTAGTATTGCACCTGCAGTTCGTACAAATACTGGAAAAGATCAATCAGGCAAGAAAGTTTCTAACACTGACCAGAAACTATCAGAACCTGTTAAAGATATGAAAGATGTGACCAGTTTACTGTCACTTGGTTCAAAAGCACTATCAATTAAACCGGCAAAATGTATTCGTGTTTATAATAAACAAAATAAAGGAAAAATAGGTACATACATTGAAATTATTCTATTGAATTTTCTTTCATTAGTTCATTTTTAGTTTTGTGAATTGTATTTTTCATGTTTAATTTCTTTTTTCATATCAATATGAATGCTGTTATTACTTCTACCTACTACTGTGGGAATTCGCCCTGGACAATTTCATCTCATCATGTTCATGGGTTGTGGCAACTTGAAACGATATGTTGTGTTCTAATGTTGCCTGTTGCCGTATTTGACACAGTGTCAGTACATTAAAAACCCCAACATGTAGTCTAGAACGGGGTTTCAAGAGACCAGGAATGACTTTTCATGAACTTGCATCGTTTGCATTAGCGGTGCAGTGAGATAAAGGAATGGGCGGATGTCACTTCCCGGCTGCCCACACCGTGGAAGGTTTTTTCTTGAGGAACCTGAAAAAGAAGGTAGATTAGTGTCGGTCTTAGAGACCTGGGGGCGTGACCGCAGTGCCCAAAGGACAACTGCTTGAGGCCGGTCACACATGGCTTTTTATGAAAGGATTTTTGAGTATTAGCTCCGCTCCTAAAAGCCCTTAGTGGGCACCCTTACCGCCGGAGACGGAAATCCGTGAGGTAGGGTGAGGTGTGATATTTTTAGGGTCGACCTTTTCTAACCCTTCCTTCCTTCCTTGTGACAAGGTAGCATCGCTGCAGATGCTCGTTGTCCGAGGGGAACACCTTACTGCTGTCACACCTCTCTGCAGTCAGCAGTACGACGTCGCCCTCAGACTTTGAGTAGCTGTTTTTAGTCTCATCGTTCTCCGATCGACCTACCTGGCATGGTAGAACCTTCAGGAACATACGTTCCAGCCAATATAGCTTGGTTGGGTCATCACGATAGGCAAGCCTGACCACCACGTTTAGGTAGCAGCTTCGATCGGGGATATGTTGTGTTTAATTAAAGAACTAAAGTTAACTGATTTTTTTGTGGATCCATCTTTGATGTTGTTCATTCTAATTGACCAAAAAAATTCTATTATGATGTGCCTTTCATTTTATTACTCAATGTGTTAATTACTCTTTCTTATATGCAAAATTCAATGTTATCATTCATTCCATCTCAGAGATTATTTGATCATGTGAGAAAAATAGTATGTACGCATTTTTCAAATATTATTTCCTTTATCCACCATAAGGTATAAGGAATTTGTTTTTGTTTTTGTAACTAAAATAATTTGAAATTTCGTCTTGTACACAAACTAATACATTAATTCTTTACATTACTACTACTACTGCTACTTACTCCTGTTACCCCCAATGGAGCATACGCTGCAGACCAGTATCCTACAACCTCAACTCTGTCCTGGGCTTCCCTTTACTTTTCTGTCCAATTTTTGTTTATTCTTCTCATGTCTGTCTCCATTTATTGACGTAATGTGTTCCTTGGACCTTGAGGATTTCGAGTGAGGGATTGTCTTGTAACGTATTTGGGTGCTTCTCACACTGTGTTCTATCCACTTTCAGCCCTTCATCCTGATTTCTTCCTACACTGGAACCTGGTTTGTTCTTTCTTAAATTAACAGAAATTAATACAATTGTTGATTTCATTATAATTTGATCATCAGTAATAATCGGGACCAACCCCTTCTTCTTCTCCTTCTTTTTCTCCTCAATGTCTTGGTCAGGAAAAAATCTATCCTCGTAATATAAACAAGCATTTGATTATAACAATTAATTTAATCATCATATTATTTATGAACGAAATATTTTCTTTTTATCAAAAATGATAAATGCTGATGAGTCCCATACCAGGACGAAACAACTGTCTAGTGCTTCCTGGTTTCTATAATGAAGACTGTAACTTTTATCATCTTCTCATTAATGCTTGTATTGCATATCAAAGAAGAAAAAATTGAACTTTTCCAAAAATCATTCCGTATAAAAAGTCTAAATTAATTCATTTGAAATAAATGTCAATGTATTATTAGTTTTCGTTTAAGTTTATAACGCGTAACTTTTCATCCTACAATCTCATTTCCTTATTTTTTTTAGGTGATAAAGTATTGGTTGCTGTTAATGGTGAAATGAAAAAAGGTTGGATTGTTGGTTCACGTTTATCATCTTGGAATGGTTGGCCACGTTTTGAATCAAATAATGTTGTACTTGTGGATAATGATGGCAATCCATTAGGTACACGAATACTTGTCCCAATACCTGCACGTTTACGAAGTTTGTCAGGTGATATAACTAAAATTTTATCAATTGCTAGTTCATTTGTATAAGAAAAATAATAAAATAAAATAAATAAATATAAATATATACGTATATTACTTATCTCTCCTTATCTACTGTGAGACGAAAGTCCCCAATGGTTAGAGACGACATGGCTCAGAATCGTTTGCGATTGCGCCGGTGCATTTATTCTTTGTGTTCTCTCTAATTCTAACCTTCTTAATTCCTCATAATCTCTATCTCCTTCTAAATTTATCTCACTGAATCATACTTTTCGAATCATATCTTCGCTCCCTAATTTTCTCCATTACTGCTAATACTTCTATTATCGCTATCACTCCTGGATTCGAACTGACAGTTACGTCCCTGTGCTGTGATGTGGTATGGCAACCTGAACTGATGTACTTATGTACGAAGTTCTGTGTTGTATTTGTCTGTCTGTCTGTCTGTCTGTTTGTCTCCTTATCTACCATTGTTTAAATAAAGAATGAAAGTCGAAGTATAATTGTATTCTTTCTTCTCAGGTATAGTTAAATAATCATCTAATTAATTTTGTTGTAGTTAAGTACAATTCACAATTATAGAATCTTGTCTCATTGAGTTTCCTATCGTGATGAATTATTCAAGTCATGTTATCGGAAACACATATGTAATCAATCCACTTCTATAGTAGGAAAAAAAGTCGTTTAAAGAGTAGTATGACTTAAAGCAGTACTAGTTATAGGTAGAAATGTGAACTTTAACTGTGAACTGCATATAATATTATAAACATACACATGGACATATGAGTAAGTCCCGACCATAGCTGCTACCTTAACGTGGCAATCGGCTTCACATGTCTTGATGACCCAACCGAGCTATATTGTCTGGAATATATGTTCCGTTAGGTTCTTCCATGCCAGGCATCGATTGGAGAACGATAAGACTAAAGGCAACAACTCAAGGTCTGAGTGCGAAGTCGTACTGATGACTATAAAGAGGTGTGACGGCAGTAAGATTTTTCCTTCTGACAACCAGCATCTTCAGCGATTCTGCCTTCTTACGATGTAAGGAATGGGTTAGAAAAGCTCGACCCTAAAAATTTCACACATCGCCCCACAGATTTCCGTCTCTGGCGGTAGGGCCTTCTGAAAAGCGCAGCCAACACGCTAAAACTTTCCCATACAAAGACTCCGTCACCGGCCTCAAGCAGTTGTCCCTTGGTCTCTGCGGTCACGATCCCAGGTTGCTAAGACCAGAGCTAACCTAACTTCTTTTCATGTTTCTCAAGCAACACCTTATCTCTTATCTCCAGGATCAACCCTTCTTCAATTCCTTTACCACCTCGCGCCACTGATGCGAACGTTTCAAGTAAACGAAATGTTATTCCCGGCCTCCTAAACGAGACAGTAAGAACTCGAAAAGATAGGGACACTCGCCGTTGCCTCTTCGTCGTATCTGCCTACACTCCTACTGACTGCAACTCAGATAAGGTAAAATATGAGTTTTACAGAAAACTTTCGGAACTCCCCCAGAAAGTCATGCGCTCTGATACAATAACAGTGACGGGTGACTTCAATGCTCAAGTAGGCAGACTAAACGAAAGAGAAAGACACTTAGGTGGATCTTATTGTCCCACAGCTTAGAGAACAGATAATGGCGACCGTCTACTGCAACTGTGCTCAGATAACCGCCTATTTCTAGCAAACACTAACTTTGAGCATAAGGAAAAACATCTTTCAACATGGCGACCCCCAAAATCAACTCAACACTGGACCCAATTGGACAACGTCGCTACCAACCACTGATGTTAAGGCTCGATAGAAGACTGTCGCTCATTCTGATGCACATGTTTAGACTCAGATCATGTTTTAGTACAAGCGCTTATTTGTTTGAGACTTACTGGACGTACGAAAAACGGCAAGGGAACCTCTTACGATTCCATTTGACAAAAGTAAAGCGAAGAGCATATTTCAGGAGCAACTAGAAAACTAGTTTGGCAGGCATGTTAGTGTTTCCTACCCCGAGGCAGCTTGGTAAGATATCCAAAAGGCTGTGGAAACAGTAGTGAAATCTGCTAGCAAGGTAAGCCATAAAGTTAGGGAGAATCAATGGATTTCAGTAGCATCTGCCGAACTGATAGATGCTGGGAAACTCATCTCGTCTGGCTCTAAACATGTTGGGGAGCCAAGGCAGCCTAAACACAGACTGATAAAAAACCTAAGCAATAATCGCGAACAGTTGATGGGTAGCGAAAACAAGAGACATGAAAAAGGCAGTGGTAATAGGTAACAGTAGACAACTGTTCAGACTTATCAAAGAAACTGATATTAAGAGTCTGACTGTTATCCAGACTCTTGGAAAACGATTGGACTATTATTCATCCTCAATCCAAGAGATTGAATCGATGGGGAGAACATTTTAGGGAGCATTTCAACTGGCCTTCAGCCACATTCCAGTTACCGACGACTTTCAGTCAACCTGAGTGGCACGTTGAGATAAGTCCTCAGACTCTAAATGGGGTTGAAAAGGCTAGAGGCGATCTAAGGCTCTGATAGATTAACCTTTAAGGAAAATGGTCCAGTTTAGCAGTGAGACTGACTGAAATCTTAGGTCGAACTTAGGAACTGGACGTAATCGCATCTGACTCTCAATCACTGATCGTCCCGGTCTATACGAAAGGATAAATGTACCCTTGTGACAACCAGAGAGGAATCAGTCTAACTGACATAATGTCTAAAATGTTGGCCTCCATAATACTTCGACGCCTAACTAGGACTCGTGAAGAGCAGACTCGGAAAACCAGGCTGGTTTCAAACCTGGACGTGGATATATAGACCACATATCCACACTTGGTCAGGTTCTAGAACACACATCCAGTTGTCCGGTACTAGTTGTATTCCTCAACCTTAAGGCGTCGTTCGACTCTGTTGATTGTGAGGTTCTGTGGTAGTCTCTCATTGAAAGAGGTACCGAAGAAGTACATTCACTTGACATAAGCTCTCTACTCGAACACAACTGGTCGTGTCAGAGCTTATGGTAATCTGTCATCAGAATTGGTTAATTCAAGTGGTTTTCCATCAGGGCTTTCTGCTCTCCATTCTTACTCAACTTTATCATTGACATGCTCTTAGAAACGACCATTAAATTCTCTGCCTTTCAGGAGTGGACCTTCTACCAGTAGACCCGCTTGTTGATTCAGAATATACCGGTGATATAATTCTAGTTGGTGAAGACGAAATGTAGAGTCTTCTGACTACCTCTGCTACTATGGGATTTGAATCGACAATTTGATTTCTGTGTGCTGATGTGGCATGGCAACTTGAACTAATGTACGTACGTACAAAGTTATACGCTGTAGCTGACTGATTGACTGTTTTGAGGAAGTGAAATTGACGAAAATAGCGATTGTTGATACTGAAATTTACTTATTTAGAAAATTTCTTAAAAGATTTAATCGTATATCATATATGTATTTTGTATGCTGCTGATGGATTCAATAGTATATTACTGTACAAAATGCTATAAATATGTGTATGGCGACCCCATCATTAAGTAATATTAGAAAGAAGAACCGTAACATGACGTTTAAATAACGTGGGTATACTGTATTTTAGAAACACCACAGCGAAAAATCCGGCGATAAAACGAACAAGAATGATGTGCATGTATACTTGGTACTTCCAAATACAGAGAAAAAAAACTGTTAAGGATCTCTCTTCTGATCAATCTAATGTAAAGTTCTTCGCTACAGTTTAGTTATACTTCCAAACAATCAGCCATATGATCTGCATTGTCCAAACTAGTTGTGAAAAAATCCCAGACTAATGTCATTTATTGATCTGAATACTCCTAACACTTTAAAAACTGAAAGGTTCTGTAGCCAGCATCTATGGATTATGAATATTACCTTTGGAAGGTTGTAATCTTACTAACAATATTTAACTCAATAGTATATAGTTTTAATGGAAAGTTGCTTGGACCTCTAAATGAAATCTATAAATTGTTCAGTAAGGTTGGATAGGAACAAGTTACTCACTGATGGCATTGTGTATGAAATTTACTTTGAGTGAATTATTTGAAGTTATAGAAACGAATCACCAGCTTGAGGAATATGTGCCGTTGTTCTCATCAACAGAATTAATTGTCCTGTGTTCAATTATTTTTTAGAAGGCTCTGCGTTTGAAGTGATGAATAGTTAGAAAATGACTTTGCACAATATAGACATTCAGTGCTACCAGATTATTTCATTCTGTGATGCAAATTATTTGTGATCTACAATGAAGACAAGATTCAAGACCCTAAAGTGAACAGTCATTAAGTAAATTTCGGATATTTAGTAATTTAAAGTACAGTATTATTCTTTTAAATAAAAAATTTTGTAATCAAGTGACCATCCACTGACTATGTCACAAATTCCTAGTTGAAATCCCTGAAAAATAAATTAATCTAATGTCCACACCTATATAAGCAAGGACCGTTGAGCCCATAATCGTGAAAAAACCGATCATGAAATTTTTGTATAAAACTTTAACTACTTATAAGTAAGTAATATACTCATAGAAAATATTTTCTATTGTTTTTACAGTGTGTGAATAAATCGTAATTTTTACATTAGCTACTTGAAAAGACTACCTACCATTTACTGTGACTAATGATGAGGTTCTGTTACCTAGAACCTAGTAAACGTTTTCATTGTTGAATAGTCAGTTTGTTACTTTGTTTTCAGATTTTACCGGCTAATGTTTTTGATTTATTAATTGAGGATTATGGTTTATTTTCAATACTATTGATTGTAATCGTTGACATGTGGTAATATATTACCGCCAATAGAAAATGGGCATTAAACGTCTTGTATGTTTGGAAGAAGAAGAGGAAATTTCCAATATTCTATTATCGTTGTGATTTAACTTTTCTATAAAATTCATTATAGTGTTGATATGATTGGTAACGTTTTCGACACTTGTTAATATCATAGTCGATCCGATTTCGAAGCAGTAAACGTGACAAAAATATGCAGTGTCTTTCATAAATAACGGCCATATATCATTTTTTATTTTACTCAAATATATTCATAATTTATCGTTAAATTCCATCAAATAATCCATTCATTT